AAAATTATTTTAAAATAATTATATAGTAAAATTATTATAAAATTATTATAAAATTATTATAAAATTATTATAAGATACAATTTTAATAATTGTATTAATATCGTTAAGATGATTTTAACTCTATTGAAAAAAAATAGCTAGTTTCTGTAAAGTAGTAGTGTTCCTGATATTGCCCCAATCAAAACATCAGAGAATGAGCACTGTTTTAAATTGTTATACCCAATCATCCAACCATTATTTTTTTACTAATTTATACAAAGAATACAATATTCAGTTGAATCGTATAACAAGTGGTACTGCAACAAGGCTGGATTTTTCATACTTGGTCAATATTCTGAATTCAGAGATTAAGCCACTTGGATTTACACCTCTTCAAAAACAAAAAGATAGATTGAAAATACAATTGTGAAGGCATAAATCTATTAATCAACTATTAAGAACAAAAGGTGGTCTAGAAGAAACAATAATGTTAACAAATCAAGGTATGTATTTTGTAATTGATAAAGCTTGATTTTACTTCAATTAATTAAGTATATTAAACCATATCTAATACTTTCAGAAGATTTAGTGAAATCATACATTATGGATCTTAAATATAATGAACTTTACCAGTCATAACCTTTTTTAACCACCCAACTAATTAAAGATAAAACAACTATTTCTTTGTTAAAGTTAAAAATTCAGCACTTTATAGCACTAGAGGTACATGAAGAAGGCATGCCTAATTTGATACAGTGCTTAATTTGACATATTGTTAATATCTCACATTCTAGTAATTGGAATTACGTGCTTTCAGTACCATTTGACTTGTCTCAATAAGACAAGTCGATTGGTATCAAAATTATATGATTCTAATTACTGAAACATAAGATATCCTAATCTATATTAATTTTCTTGGCTAAGGCTGCAGCAATGACATACTAAAATTAGCTCTTTGTGCTAATAACCAGCAAGTAAAGAAATTTCTATTAAAAATTATTAATTGCTCTTTATTTTTTTTTTCTTTTTTATTTGTATTTTTTTTAATAAAATGTTTAATTTGACATATTCACAAGAAAGCATATTTGAATAGCCGTTATAGTTTCTAATTTGGATAACCACTATGAAAGTTTGCTATTATAGTGTTTAATAACTAATTTTTGGACACACTAATTTATCTTATATGTGCAAAAGTTAACATTAATAATAAAAAAAAAAATACAATTCATAAGACCTCCAATTACATGAACTGTGTATGCAAAAAAAAAAGTGAGTTTAAAACTAATTTTAAAATAGTTTTTGATCACATAATGTTTACAAATCTGTTTGTATAACAGATAATACCATGAATGTAATAAAAATATTGTATCTGATAATTCTAAATAAATAAATTTTTATCTTGTAAAGAAAAAGAATAGCTTATTAAATTCACAGATTATAATAAAATCGGATTAAAATGAAACTGGGAAACTTTCTTGCTCATTTTTAAAGCTTATAAAATCCACTTACTGTAAAGTTCCAAATATAAGCAACCCCGAAAATAAGCAACCCTTTAGATTTTAGCACTAAAATATGAAAAAAGTAAAATAAGCAACTCTATAAGCAAAATAAAATCAAAAGTAATTTTTATTAATATTAGCTAATAGAATTACATATTTCAAAAGTTACTGAAATTAAGCAACTCTTCTAAAAAAATCAGCCAAAATGGATGGCTTAGAGGGTTGCTTATATTCGGAACTTTACAATATACTCTTTTATTAATAAAACTAACTTTAAACCCTAACTCTAACACTAACCCTAACCCTAAAAACTGTCTTCCAAAAAATTTGAAATTTTTCTAAAAAAATAAAAAAATTTTATTTTAATCTGATTTCATTTTAATTTGCTACATTAAATATAGAATTTTTTAATAACAAAGTATAGTGATTACAGTACCTAGCAAAATACTATTAATAATGCCCTTAAGGCAATTAAAAATCTCTAAAAAATTTTAAAACTCCAAGTATTAGAAGCATAGCAAAAGAATATAGTTTTTCAGAAACTATCCTTAGACATGAAATTAAAAATAATAGTCCTTTTACTTGTCTAGGCCATGTTAAAGTTCTAACCAACCATGAGGAAGAATAACTAGTTAGTTATTGTATAAATATGCAAAAGCTTGGTTTTGGGTTAACAAGAACTGGAGTAAGCCAGTGTATAATAGATATTATTCGTCAAAGCAAAAGACCTTACCCTTTTAATGAAAATGGACCGAGGCAAAAATGGTGACAACATTTTATAAAAAACCACTTAGAGCTTTTGTTTCGTATTCCGCAAGCTCTAAACGAAGCTTATGCACAAAAAGCAAACCCTATAAGTGTTAATAATTATTTTAACAAACTTAAAAAAATCATCTATAAATGCTCACTTATTACAAATAGAATTTGGAATATGGTCTGTTATTATTATTTTTTTTTGATCTTTTTTTATTTAGAATGAAATGGAATTTGTCATTAAACCTAGAGTTCAAAAAGTTATAACAAAAAAGAAGCATGCCAGATTCATAAAGTTTCATATAGCAGTTCTTATAAGCATATTTTATTATGCTTAACTATATCAGCTGCTGGGATATATATCTCACTATTGCTCATTTTTAAAAGGAAATGAACAATCTTAGATTTTCTAAACAGCGCTCCTACTGGTTTTGTTATGAGTTTACTGAAACAGAATATATACAGGAAAGCCTATTTCAAAAATATATTAAACATTTAGTTAGATCTATCCTGCTAATATATCCTGTCCTGTTGATTTTAGATGGTCATAAAAGTCATATTAATTATATTAGTATTAACTATTGTCATAAGAATAATATCTTCCTTTATGCTTTTTTTCCTCATACCACTTATGTTTTATAGCTAGCTAAGCTACTATTTGCTGTATTAAAAAATATATATAATAAAAAATGAGAGAAATTTTGAGTTAGTAATAATAATAGCTTGTAACAAAGCACACATTTGCTAAAGTCTAGAGCACTCTTATATTGCGATCTACACATCTGCTTCTATATACAGCACCTTTAAGGCTACAGGAATTTGGCCTTTTAATCCTAGTACAATCAGCTCTGACATTTAGATCCTTCATTAGCAACAGAATATACTAGCCTCTAACAAATTCTTGATTCACTGTCATTGGCATTGTTGTTTTCTTTGCAATCTTTATTTTTACAAGCTTCAAAGCCAACCCCAAGTCATAGACGATTCACTAAAGCTAACTCTACTAAAAAAGAACTAATATTAGAGATCATCTCATTAAATAAAAGAGTTGAACAACTAGAAAAAGAGCTTTGCTTGAAGTTGTTAAAACCCCTGGTACAAGTTCTTTGCAGTTGATACTTAAGTATCCTTTGTATCAAAATTCACAACTTGAAGATCTAGAGATTAATAAAGAGGAATTTAGATCTCTATCTCCAAAAAGAAAAAAAAGAAAAACAATGCTCTTTTCCCACCTTCTAACAAATAAAGAATTATTAAAACAACTAAGAAAAATGAAAGAAAAGGCAAAGAAAGTAGCTAACAAAAAATAGTATAAAAAAGAAGAAGCTACTCAAAAATGAGCAGCATGTGGGACCAAAAAGGCACAGAAGCAGGAGGCACAGAAAAAAAAAAAAGGACTTGGAACATACTAAAGCAGAAAAACAGCATATTAAAGATAAGAACTAGCTTGAAAAAAATAAAATATAAAAAAATCATCTATTTTATGTAGTGTATCAAATTAGGATAATCTTTTGATAATTTTGATTTTGAAAGAGCTCATGTTACTAGAATAAGTTTAATTTTTTTTTTATTTAAAAAAAATTTTTTTTAAATTAAAAGTTACTTCAAATTAAAATATATCAATTTTAGTAAAAACTTATATGTTTTTATATAAATTTGTATTAGGCAAAATTAGATATGTCAAATTAGACATACTTCTTTTATATTTCATTTTTGATTTTGCAATGAAATAATCAATAATATATTTTATTTATATTTTTTATTGTTAGGGCCAAATTAGTAAAATTGCTGAGAACTATAATTGTCAAATTAATCAAAGTGGAAAAAGTACTTCACTATTGCAAATACAATATATTAGAGACTTATCAAATAGTCTACAAATAAAAAAGTTACTTAGTTAGGTTAAATATGCAGGTAAATTGTTTAAAATAATAGATTAATTAGTTTATCTTAAGGGTAGAAACATGATAGACATTCGATTTGATTGGTTAAAAAATAAACAAATAAACAATATACATAATGTAAATTATTATATAAATCTAAATATAGCTATTTAATTAAAGTTTTACTATTACCAAGTTGGTAACTTCACTAGTATAATTGCTAAAGATTTAGAAGTTAGAGTCTTGTAGCCTAGTGGTCTGAATGCCTGACCCTTTACAAACAAGGTCAACAGTTCGATTATAGCTGGTAGTAATTAATTTAATTAATTATCTCTATAACCTTCAGAAGCTTTTGAATATGAAACTCTGTAGCAGTAAGACCATGTGATATATATATTTGGCTGATAAAGAATTCTTGAAAGAAGCCCCGAGCTATGGAAAAGACTAGGTACTGCATATGATATGGGTTACAGAAGGTATTACTGTAGAAAGCTATGTGTGTAAATCTATGATTAGCAAGGTAGCACCAACAACCCTAAGGTAGCATTGGGATCTTAATTGGGAGGATGGCTATATGCAGTATTAGGGTTCCAACTCGGTTTGAAAATCCCTATCTGTGACTCACCGGGTCAATCATCTTTTCCAACCGGGTACCCGAAAATAAAACCGGCTACCCGATTAAAATGGGTCACCCTGTTATAATCGGGTGACCCGGCTATCTGACTAAAACGGATAATCGGGTGACCCGATTAAAAGCGGATAACCAGATGACCCGATTAAAGCGGATAACCGGGTGACCAGTTATCCGTTTTAATCAGGTCATCCGGTTATTGATATTTAATCAGGTAATTCAATTGAAATAGATAATCCGATCTGGTGATTATTCTTTATTTCTGTATTCCATGAAGAACCAGCTCCAAA